TTCTTTCTTTCTTTCTTTCTTTCTTTCTTTCTTTCTTTCTTTCTTTCTTTCTTTCTTCTTTCTGTCTGTCTTCCTTCCTTCCTCCCTCCCTTCCCGCCATCTTCTTTCTTTCTTTCTTTCTTTCTTTCTTTCTTTCTTTCTTTCTTTCTTTCTTTCTTTCTTTCTTTCTTTCTGTCTTTCTGTCTTTCTGTCTTTCTGTCTTTCTTTCTTCTTTCTGTCTTTATTTCTTCTTTCTGTCTTTCTGTCTGTCTTCCTTCCTTCCTTCCTTCCTTCCTTCCCCCCTCCCTCTCTGATAGATTGTGTGGTCTTGTAGGATCACGTAACTCTGTCATGTACCTACATATAGAAAGCTCTGCTTACATACTTACCTGCTAACAAAGTACACAGTAATTTAAAAGTTTAATTGGAAATGTAATATATATACATATACATATGTACGTACATACATACATACATACATACATACATACATACATACATACATACATACCTGCCAAATTGTACCAGTAGCATTACAAATACTTGTATTAGTAATTTTCAAATACTTGTTTTTACTTAAATTGATTCTTTGGTTTTTTTTTTTAAGTAATGTTTAATTTATAGCCACCACAGAAGCAAGGATTAAGGTTTAGCATTTGAAAACATTTCTCTGTGGATATTCTGTTTTACTTTTTTGGAAAGATCAAAAGAAGGCTGCTAGCACCTTTGAAACATGGGTTTTATCTTGAACGCAGCTCACTTTATCAGATGCAAAAAAGTGCTGAATGAATGTAGGAGTTAAATTGAATTTTAATTGAAGTGGGCTGGGGAAAAAGGAAGGGGAAGGTAGGAGGGCTATACAAATTCATAAGATTGGCCAGCGCCCCTAATAAAACACATTGCTGTCAAGATAATAACCTACAACTTCGACTTTTCACTTTTACATAATAATATATAGTAGCCATTTCTATGACGGCAAACTTATCAAATCAGCAAACCAAAAACTAAAGCTTTATTTTTTTCCCCACCTCGAGCACAAAGTCCAAAAGCGGTTTCCAAATAGAAACAAAATTAATTTCATTCTTTTCTTCAATCATTTCAGAATAACAGAGTTGGAATGGACCTTGGAGGTCTTCTAGTCCAACTCCTTCCTCAAAAACTATGTTGCGTGCTCAAAAACCTGTAGACTGCTCAAAAACTATATTTTTCCTCTTATTTGTCTGGGTAATGGACCTGCCTATCTTTCTCCAGCTCATCTTCCTTACTGTCAGTGTTTCTCAGCTTTAGCAGCTTAAAGACATATGGACTTCAACTCCCAGAATTCCCCAGCTGGCTGAGTGATGAACTCTGGGAGTTAAGATTCACACATGTTCAAGTTGGTTAGGTTGCAAAACAGTAGTCTACACCAGTGTCTTTTTGGGGATGAGAGAGAGAGAGAGAGAGAGAGAGAGAGAGAGACAAAAATAGAGAAAGAGAAACACAGAGAGAGAAAGAAACAGAGAAACAGAAACAGAAAGAAAAAGAGAAAGAAAGAGAGAGAGAGAGAGAGAGAGAGAGAGAGAGAGAGAGAGAGAGAGAGAGAGAAAGAGAAATAGAGAGAGAAAGAAACAGAGAAAGAGAAACAGTGAGAAAGAGAAACAGAGAGAGAGAGAAAGAGAAAGAAACGGAGAGAAAGAGAGAAAGAAAGAGAAACAGAGAAATGTTTTCATAGAAATATCAAATAGTGTTAAAATGGAAATATTTCATATTTCATAGAAATGTTTTCATAGAAATATAAAATGGTGTTAAAATGGAAATATTTCATATTTCATAGAAATCTTTTCATAGAAATATAAACTGATGTTAAAATGGAAATATTTCATATTTCATAGAAATGTTTTCATAGAAATATAAAATGGTGTTAAAATGGAAATATTTCATATTTCATAGAAATGTTTTCATAGAAATATAAACTGATGTTAAAATGGAAATATTTCATATTTCATAGAAATGTTTTCATAGAAATATAAAATGGTGTTAAAATGGAAATATTTCATATTTCATAGAAATGTTTTCATAGAAATATAAAATACTTTTAACATGGAAATATTTCATAGAAATGTTTTCATAGAAATATAAAGTAGTGTTAAAATGGAAATTTCATATTTCATAGAAATGTTTTCATACAAATATCAAATAGTGTTAAAATGGAAATATTTCATTTTTCATAGAAATGTTTTCATAGAAATATCAAATGGTGTTAAAATGGAAATATTCCATATTTCATAAATCAACCTTTTTTGGGTTTCTGCAGCTCCTCCATCTTGTTTCAAGGCGCAGCTTGTGCTGCCTGTTTATTGCTTGTAAAATTTGCTAATTCCCGCTTGACTTGCAACGGGCCACGTTGATGTGTGACTGCTAGAAAACATAAAAACCATAATGGAAACCTCAAAAGCAGCCATAAAACTGTCCAGGAAAGCCTTTCCTGAAATATCTAGTTGTAAATGTAAAACGGCTAGTAAAATAACCAGATTTTACTACGTACTTTGTCAGGTCACACAAATGTGGTAATGTAGAGAGGAGTGTATAGCAGCCGAAATATAAAAAGAGAGGATCAATAAAACTCAAGTGCATAATAAGATAGATGGATAGATAATTGTCAATCATTTCTGACTATAGAAATGATCTTCAAGTTTTCCAATTACTAAGCAGTGATTAAAATTGTCAGAGAATTAACAAACAGTCTGGAGAGCTTTCGTTTCCAGGTTTAGTGTCATGTCACCGTAAGTTGGTTCAAATTTCTAATTAAAAGCTAAAGTCTACATTTCAGCAGGCTGAAGATCCCTTTTAAGTTTCCTTAAATTAAGATCAGCACACTTGCAGTCTAGATTGAAAACATTGAATTCAAAACATGCAGAATATAACAGTTCCGATGAACGGTGTTAATTGGAAGAAAGGTTGAGGTTCAATAACAATGGTGGTGAACCTATGGCACGCGTGCCAGAGGCAGCACTCAGAGCCCTCTCTGTGGGCACGTGCGCCATCGCCCCAGCCCCACCTCGCCCCGTGGCCCCCTCCTCACCAGAAACCCCACCCGGAGGAGAATCACCCCCGAGCAGCCAAGGACATGGCAGCCGGGCTGCAGGGACAAGACACTGCACTCGTGCCCCATTGCGTGCAGATGATGCTGTGGGACGCGGGTGGAGGGTGTGGCTTCCATGGTGCTGCTGGACTGCCTGGGCAATCTGCAGCAGGCCATGGAGCGGTGGGGGGTCTGGTGGGGGGCCCTGTGGGCAGGTGGGGGATGGGGCGGGGGTGGTTTTTGGGCACTTGGTCTCTAAAAGGTTCGCCATCACTGTTCTATAACACAAGAATCCCACCTTATTTTCAAATAGGCAACTTGTGACGTTGTTGGTTTCATTTTGCTTCTTTGATACAAAGAGTTGGAAAGTTGCCTAAGATAAAACAGTCTCTGTAGATTTATTGTGTTGGTAAATACTAGGTTTTTATATATATATATATATATGTTTTCTGAGGTTTTCGCGGGTGTTTGTATGTAGGTCTTTAGTTATTCGGGTTTTCTCCCGCGTAGAATTAAAAGTACCTTGGCGACGTTTCGACGAAGTCACATTCGTCATCTTCAGGCTGGTGTCTTCAGCTTCGTGCTTCTAAGAAGCTGCACTCTTAGAAGCACGAAGCTGAAGACACCAGCCTGAAGATGACGAATGTGACTTCGTCGAAACGTCGCCAAGGTATTTTTAATTCTATGCGGGAGAAAACCCGAATAACTAAAGACCTACATATATATATATATATATATTAATGAAAGAAATAACTTTTGCAACAGTGCCGGACGAAATAGATCAAATGATTTGACTAAACAAAGAATTCAGTAATACAGGGCTGGAATAAATTTGTTTTACAGAAGAATTTGATATTGTTTGCTCCTTATTATATTACTGAAGAACCATTTTGGGAGATGGACATCTCCCTTTATTAGCCTGGTCTGTGAACAGTGGATGCAAGAACAGAATTGATGTCCTTTTCTTTGTTCAAAAAAAAAAGATGCTTGGGCGACTCACTTTATTAAATTGTTCTTGTTGTTTTTACACAGATTCAGCAAGATCAAGTGAAGCAAATGGACATTGAGAACAGCTTTATCACCAAATGGAAAGACACGCAAGTATGTAAGGATGGTTCCTTCACTTGTGAATAGAGTGGAGTGGAATAGAATGGAATGGAATAGAATAGGATAGGATAGGATAGGATAGGATAGGATAGGATAGGATAGGATATGGAATGAAACGGAATATGGAATGGAATAGAATAGAATAGAATAGAATAGAATAGAATAGAATATGGAATGGAATGGAATGGAATGGAATGGAATAGAATGGAATAGAATAGAATAGAATAGAATATGGAATGGAACGGAATATGGAATAGAATAGAATAGAATAGAATAGAATAGAATAGAATAGAATAGAATAGAATAGAATAGAATAGAATATGGAATGGAATGGAATATAATAGAATAGAATAGAATAGAATAGAATATGGAATGGAACGGAATATGGAATAGAATAGAATAGAATAGAATAGAATAGAATAGAATAGAATAGAATAGCCATTTCATTACCCAACTAAGTAACATCATCAGCGCTAGAGTAGAAAGAGAAGGCAAAAAATGTAGACTTTGAAGAGGACCTTTCCCTGGTTTTCTAAAACTTAGCAAGTTGCAGTGACCCTCTTTTTTGGGGGTGGGGGTAGAATGGGAGGAAGACAGGGCAGTAAAATCTTGACCAGTGTGTGTTGAAATGACCTTCCTAATTCAGCCTGTTTGCCTGCAGCCTGAAAGATTTCAAAATAAATAAATACATTTCCAGAGCTTGTTTATCAGGAGTCTAAAACGGACTGATGACCAAGGAGAGACTAGATCA